TTTGGGAGGTTATGTTTTGAATTGTTTTCCAAATTTAGATCGTATCATAATTGAGAATTTGTGATTTTTCTACATTTACAATACTGGACGGTGTCAAGGTCACGGTACATGTAGGTGACTGATGATTTTGATTGAGAGCCACAGACATCAACAAAGACTGTGCGATTGAGTTGTTGCTGCCGAACTTTTATCTGCATGGATGGTTTTTGGATGATTTGTGCGTTTGTCCTCGATGGAGTGCCGACTGTTGGAGATCAAATTTTGATTGACGGCTATTGAAGTGAAACGATTGTATACCATGTAATTCATTTTCAGTGGTTGGCTGTGTGCCATGAGAAAAGTTTGGTCATTTACTTAGAAGAAGCATGGGCTGTGTGTCTTAAGATAGGATTGGTTGTGTACCTAGGCGTGCCTTAAGCAAGAATAGATTGTGTCCCTATACGAAACATGAGCTGAAAATTGGATATGTTCCTGTTATATTGAATAAAATTACAAAACATGCATTGCGTTTTAATATAAAACAGAAAAGCTGAAATATTTTACACCTTATATATTTTATTACATTTAATTTAACAAAAAAAAACATTGGGAAAACACGACAAAAAAAATGAATACTACGCGTGGTAGTTTTGCTTGTTCACCAAACATTGTGATTCACAGGATGTCTGCACATAGTCGTATCAAACCGTTCGACGTTAATGTGGAGGCCAGCAGTCTCCCGGGGGAATGGGAAACATGGAAAAAAGATTTGGATTCTTTTTTCATGGCTCAGAATATAGAAAAACAGCGATACAAGAGAGCGCAGTTAGCTTACCTTGGAGGACCAGGACTCCAAGAATTGCTACGTCACCTTCCTGGGGTTAACCAAGTAGCCCACGTGACCGATGATCCTCCGTATTACGATATAGCCATACAATGTCTGGATAATTATTTCGAACCGTTCCGTCGTAAAACGTATGAGCGTCATCTGTTCCATCAGATTGTTTAGCAACAAGAAGAAAGGTTTAAGAACTTCGTGATGCGGCTGCCGAAGCAGATTTCTAGATGCAATTACGATTCATGTGTTGTGGACGAATTGATTGCGAATCGCATCGCCCAAGGGTGCAAGTCACAAGAACTTCGAACGAAAGTTCTTCAGAAGGACCGTACTCTTGACAAAATCATCGCATTGGGTACGAGTCTAACGGAACCGTTCAATCAGTCCAAGCAATTTGGAAAACCATACATATGCAAACAAGGCCGGATCAACTCGGTTGCTAGAACATATTTTCGTTCGGTCCGTGACCGAAGTTCAAACAATCCAAAAAGCATATCCAAGTCGATATCAATCAACTAACCGTTTCTGCTATAGCTGCGGGCGTCGAGGTTACGTGCAAGGTTGTAATGACTGCCCTGCAAAGCAGACAAGGTGTGCTGCATGTGGGAAAATTGGACATTGGGCTAAACGGTGGCACAGTACCAGTACTGGACGTGGTTTTAAATCGAATTTTAAACGCCGTCAAGAAGACTCAACCTATGCACCAAAGCCAAACGGATTCGAGCTATCTATGAAGAAGCTGAGAAAAAACAAGCACACGAGTTTGTATTCTACGCTATGGGACGCAACGTTTTTAACTTCAAGGTGGGTGGAGTTGACATTCCCATGACAATCGACTAAGTGGGCGATGCCAACATCATCACAAAAGACGTTTGGGATCAAATGAAGGAGGCTGGAGTAAAAGTGGTGAACGCAACAACGAAAACTGACAGATCACTAATCGCGTATGCTTCTGATAAACCATTAAAGATAGCAGGAGTGTTTTGTTCAGAGATTGAAGCGGCGAACAACAGGGCAGAGGCAAAATTTTATGTCGTGGAAGACGGTCAACGTTGCTTGCTCGGTGACCAAACCGATCGATGAACAATTTCAACCTGTTCAACAGCCATACAGACGGCCACCAATCGCAATGGAAGAAAAGATCGAGGAAAAAATAAGTTCGCTTCTAGAACTGGATATCATTGAACGTGCCCCAGGACCGTTGCCGTGGGTATCACCATTGGTGCCTGTCCTTAAGGATTCAAGTGTAATTAGACTCTGTGTTGATATGCGTAGGGCCAATTAAGCGGTTCTATGAGAAACCTATCCGTTACCACTGGTAGTCATAGGGTATCTGGTACCGTTCAGTTTTCTAAAATCGACATTAAGGAAGCTTACCACCAAGTCGAGATATCCGAGCGATCCCGTCCAATCACGACATTTATCACGAAGTACGGACTTTCCAGGGAGATGTGCGAATTTTGTTTTTGATAATAAAATAAAGTTACTAGGTACCAACCGTTTGTTCATTTGTTATTTTATTTTGAATTATATAGGTACAAACGCTTAAAGTTCGGGGTCAGCTGTGCCCCTGAACTATTTCAGAAAGTGATGGAAACGATCACGGCTGGTCTTGAAGGAGTTATTGTTTACCTGGATGATGTCGTGGTATTTGGCGCAAGCAAGGAAGAGCACGATAGAAGATTAGATGCTGTACTGAGGCGTTTTTCGGAGTATGACAATCTTCTCAACAAAGAAAAGTGTGTGTTTGGGGTCGAAACGCTGGAATTCCTTGGTCATCAGCTCTCAGCTGACGGAGTTCGACCAACTGAGAGCAGAATTGCTACCATTCAGAAGTTCCGTGAGCCACATGATGTCTCAGAACTGAGAAGTTTCCTTGGGTTGATTTGCTACGTCGGTAGATTCGTTCCGAATCTTGCTTCTAAAGCCGAGCCACTGAGACATCTTCTTCGATCGGGAGTACAATTTAAGTGGACAATTTATAATTTAGCATTCAATGCAATCAAAAATGCGATTTCTAAAATCCATCATCTAGGGTTCTTCAACCCCAAGGATCGAACGAAACTGATGAAAGATGCAAGCGCAACAGGGTTAGGAGCAGTACTCCTGCAAGAGGATTCTCAAGGAAATAGCAGAGTAATCGCTTACACCAGTAAAGCCCTCACCGATTTGGAAATGAAGTATTTCCAAACAGAACGCGAAACATTATCGCTTGCATGGGGCGAGAGAAGTTTCGTTTATAGCTTCTTGGAATCAAGTTTACACTATTAACCGACTATAAGGCACTTAAATTCCTTTTCAGCCCGAGGTCCAGACCATGCGCAAGGATCGAGAGATGGGTTCTTAAATTACAAAATTATACGTACGATGTGGAGCATATTCCACGATCTGCAAACCTAGCCGACGTTTTTTCGAGACTTAGATAATTACCCCCGGAACCGTTCGATGAGTCAGGAGAAGAATACATTCGGAATATCGTTGAGCAGGTTGTACCGGTCGCGGTGACGCTTCAGGAGGTACAGCAGGAAACAGTAAATGATGAAGGTATTCAGGAAGTTCTGGCGGCTCTGCACTCAGGATCGACGGAAACCATGCAGAGGGAATACAAACCGTACGTAAATGAACTCAGTAGTGCTAATGTCGTTCTGCTGAGAGGAAACCGGCTTATCATATCCGAAACATTGCGAGGAAGGGTTTTAGGTTTGAATCATGACACGCACCCTGGAATGTCAGCTATGAAGCGTCGTTTACGCCAAAAGGTTTGGTGGCTATCTATCGACAAACAAGTTGAAGCTTGCATAAAGCGGTGTCAGCAGTGTATACTTGTTTCTACACTTGGGCCTCCGGAACCTATTAAGAGTACGAGAATGCCAGATAAACCGTGGATGGATATAGCAGTGGACTTCATGGGACCACTTCCTTCGGGCCATACGCTTTTCGTGCTAGTGGATTATTTTAGCAGATTTACAGAAGCCATAGTTATGAAGCAAACAACAGCAAAGCGTACTGTACAGGTCCTGCATGAAACATTTTGCAGGTTTGGGGTTCCTGAATCCATTAAATCTGACAATGGGCCACAGTTTGTGAGCAAGGAAATTAAGTTTTTTTTTTGCAAAAAATATGATATTATACAAAGAAAAACTACGCCGTATTGGCCACAAGCAAACGTCGAAGTTGAGCGGGCAAATAGAACGATTCTGAAGCATTTGAAGATAAGTCAGCAATCAGGAAATACAGATTGGATGTGGGACCTCAGGTCAAGATCGACGGAAAACAAATCAAGGAAAAAAATATATATGCACGAAGTGTCGTTCAGCTCACCGGGGGTCCACGGTATAACAAAAGCATTATTCATCGGTTTGGCTCGCTATGACATTTCGTGACAGTTTGTGTTTGGCTCGTTCTGATATTTTTCGACTCTGCATCTCCCGCCCATGTCAGGATCTTAAGTTATCACATATAATAAAGGGGGGGGGGGCAAAAATACGCACTGGCTCGAAGGGCAGGTGAACGAAATGATGGACCAATGAACTTCTACTAAATTCACTACCCACACACGAATAGGTAATAATGTAACAATTGTAGTTGATTACAATATAAAATAAAGAGATTTTGTATAATAACATTTGATGTAGAGTGATTAAGTTCAACCTACAAAATTGTGTAGGTTTATCCCGAAAGAGCTATGAACAGTTTTATAGAATGCAGCAGCCTGCAAACTCAACAAACATTTTAGCTGCAGACTAGCTTACACAGACTAAAATTTGCTGCTTTAGCCACGTTTTGATTGTATAACCTTATCTGCAGCTAAAATTGTTAGTTGGGAAGATCTCGAACTTAAGACGTACCTACATTATAGAATCTTCAAACCGACTAAAATCTGCACATCTCTACATATTATGCTCCATGCATCTTTCTCCTTTCCTTGTAAGGGTACTATTCCACCAATCCTTCGTACCTCCCACCTACGCACCGGGTAAACGAACCGAGAGCATTTTGTTGATAATTTTCATTCAACTTTTCCCCGTGACGTTCTTCTCTCGCTCTCACTTTCAGGACAAAACCAGCAGTACCAGTACCAGTAGCAGCTCAGTAACAACAACAACAACAACAACAACAACATACAGAAATACACTTTTGGGAGAAATCAAACCTGTCTATCGAAACTGCCGAACACTGAAACCGATTATTGGAAACTCGAACGATGACAGCCCTTCAACAGCGGAGGGCGGACTCGATTTCAGCATCGAGCTTTTCTTCGCCGTTCTCAGACACAAGGGAAAACTTTTCCCCATTCAAAGCGCGGCACTCACTGTGTGTAGCGAGCAGCAGGCAACGTAACTTTACCCAAAACAGTCTTGTAACTGTATCTCCTACGATGCTCACACGACGTTCTATCGATTCTCTCGGGGATTTTTTTTTTGTTTCTTCTGCACAGGCCTAGATTCACAACATAACCAGCTGTGACCTTCTACGATACATTCGCTTCCCAGCCTATCCCTCACCTGCTGGGTGGAAGCGCACAGCAACGTCGAATGTCAACGACGATGACGACCCGGTTTCCTGTTCACTCAAGGAATTTCCTTTTCCTAGCACAACGCGTCCCGGATGTGTTACACGCTTCGAACCTGTAGACTGTAGACGACACACACATTGGCTGGAAACTCTTTTCAACCTTCTTAATCAGGAGGAAGCTGCGCCGCGGGCAGAGCAATCCCACAATTCTGATTCCCTCCGCCTCCTCGCGCGTGGAATGATAGCGATTCGACCGGCAACCACCGTGATGTTCTTATCGCTACGACGACCCGTGAGAGACTGAAATGAAGCTGAGCTCTGCAACAAGATGTTCGCAATCGGAAGCGGCGGCGGCGCATCCGTCGAATGTAAACAGCAGCCTCTCTCTCACGCAAATTCACGCGAACATCACGAGAATCGTGATTCGCCCCCTGCCGTGAGCAAGTGGGAGAGATTCTCACAGCAACGCGGAAACGTGAAGGGAATGATGATAATCACGATGATGACGGTCATTGCAATGTTTACGATTCTCTCAACTATGGTGCTTGGTAGCCAAGACCGAGGAGGATGCTAATGTGCCCTAAAGGTACCTACAAAGGTACAGACCGGAAGTTTTCTAAGGAGATGCTTTGTGGCTGGTCGTGGGATATTTTGTAAATAGAGATTAGAAGCTGATCGGAAGTGGTGTATTGTTGGAGCTGTAATTTGCTTGATGTAATAAGGAAATACGCGTGTACCGCAATTGAAATTGCGGGAACGGGCCGGGTGTAGTGGTTAGCATCGATGCATCGCACGCTGGAGGATACGCTGTTCCATCTTAGGAATATGATAAAACATAGGTTCCGGTTGTTCTGCAAGATGTACCGTCAAGATTTTTATAATATGGCCCACACTATAGGAACCGGCATTAACGAATACACGTACAATATAAAATTACAACTAATTGGGGTCATTTTCTTAAGCTGGGTTTAGACAGGGCAAGTCAATTGATCAAGTCAGTTGAATTCAACGTAATCATACCTCTTCATTACAACCGTTCTATCACAGTCTCCTGGGAACTTCCTGTATCAATCAGAAGGTGTTTAATAATATCAAATAAACGTAACTGTCACTTTTGACTTCCATCGTCAATATCTCCCTATTGACAATTGAATCATAGAAATTAATATCACCAATAGATGTGGGATTATCTAATCTGTCCGATGGTGTTATTACTTTGCTCGTTTACGAAAAATCAGCGATGGAAGTCAAAAGTGACAGTTACATTATATCGAGGTATACCTGTAGGGTCGGGTGGGGCAAGAGTGCCATATGGGGTAGCAGTAGCAGTTTTTTATTTGAAAATTTACGTTCTGCAAATATTTAAACATTTTTAACTAGTATGTACATTTGTTAATTGGGTGGGGATTGTTAGAATTTTGAGAAATGTAAAATTTATAATCTCAAAATTAAGCGGAAATGAAAATTATTAGTACTGCTATTATTTTGAACAATTTTACCTGGTGTCTCACTTTCCGGCAGGTGCTTCCAAAAATTTAATATTTTGTAATCGTAAAATATTTGTAGTTCTTTGGCAAACCTTTCAGCTCAATTGATCATAAGTTAACAAAGTTACATCATGTCAAAGTTGACCATTTTGTATGAAAATCGGCATGCGCTGCTATTTTATCGAACCGAGCTATATGTAAAAAATGTGTGTTGCTTCTCATAAAGGTACTTGAGAAGACGTTTGAATCCGTTCAAGGTTTCTACCAATACACGGCATTCACTCCGACGGCCAATTAGAAGCTCAAAAGTTTCTTACGAAGAGCTTGGAAATCGGAAGTGGTTACAGCAACAGGGGGAACTTTTTCCTTTTTATCATCAAGCCGGGAATGTTTGGATCATTCTCATCATCCGTAAGCATATCAAATTGATTGCTCAATTGAATTTCATCAGAAGGGGGATCAAGCGATTGCCCTTTTCTTTTGCGCAAGTTTCTCCAAATCGACATCCAAGGAGATTACTATAAGAATCCGAAGGATCGAAGAGGAATTTTCCAAATCGATGTCCAGCAGCCCTAGTAACCAAAAATTCCGCATTCAACGATAAAACTCACTTCCAAGTTCCATAAAGTTCAAATAAAGTTCCAACAGAACCTTCAAGTTCCATAAAGTTCAAATAAAGATCCGTCGTTTTCAAGTTCCATAAAATTAAAATAAAGTTCCGACAGAACTTTCTTCCCAAGCAACCAAAAGTTCTGCATTCAACGTTCAATTTCACGTTCCATAAAGTGCACATAAAGTTCCAACACAACATTCTGGCTACTTTAGAAACTATACATGGATAGAAATCTCCTTATACCTTTTGGCAAATTTCTATTGCTGATTATTCATAAAATGTATAAGTGAACTAATAAGCAGACGCCTTGCAAAAAGTTAATGAAGTTCATGTGTCAAATGAAGTGTATAAGCGGTCACACATACCTTTAATGCATTCTTATGTGGTTTGTCTTATGGAATGTATAAGGCTGATGTTTTGGCAAAAATGTATAAGTGAAACAGATGAATAAAATAATTGATTTTCGTTTCGTGTAGAACGCACACGAAGAACTTCAGGCTCCAAAAGTTTCGATGCGTACTCATAGCAACTTGGAGTTCAAAAAAAGTTCCAAAAACGGAACGGTTCCGGAACTTCGTGGCAACTTGAAAGTTTCTAGAAAGGTCCGTCATAGCCCACATGAAGCAATCCGCACAAGTCTTTATTATAAACAAAATTTAATGTGCGTAAATATGAAATGATCAGTGGCTCAAATAAATCATAATTCTTATATTCATGCAGTGCATCAACATACTATCCAAACATAAAAAAACAGAGAGCAATTTCCTGGATTCGAACCCTTGTATTCGGCATGCAATCAACGAACGCTGACCACTGCGTCAAAGTGTGTTGGAATACCATGCGGACAAACACCAATTTAAAATTAAATCAAGGTGTTGTGTTTCGTATTCAAGTCAGTCAGCTGGCACTGAAAACTCCAACAGTAGGCGTGACAACAGCTCACTTCAATATAGTCAGGAATCCTTATTGCCGGGGTAACGGGGGCGTGAATAAGGAACCGCGAATAAGGATACCCACAGCTTATGGGGTTTTCACTAATGGATGTGGTGGATTATCTCATTTATTTCAAAATATAAAACTATACTGTCTTCGACAAAGTTGTTGTACTGGTATAGACCAACAAGCCTGTGTAATTTGATTCAGGTTTAATTGAGAACTACGCCGCAAGAGGCACTTCACTTCTATGTTACTTATGACGGGCGCAATAATATATGGATCATAGGTCCAACATAGAATATTTCGTGATCCTGGTCATATAGAAAGTTACTGTCTTGAGCAAAGTTGTTCAAGTGACCAAGTCCTTTCGGATGGTCGCCATCTTAGTTCAGAACTCTTTCACTACGCAGCGCTAGTGTGCACATGAGCTTTGTATATAAGCTGTATATCAAAATCCTGGCCATAGAGAAGGTTACTGTCTTCAGCAAAGTTGTTCAGGTGATCATGTATTTTTGTATGGTGTTCATAGTAGTTCAGAACTCTCTTTTTGCGTAGCGCTAGTGTGCATTTGAACTTCCTATATAAACTGTATCTCGAGAAACTGGCCACATAGAAAGTTGCTGTCTTCAACTGCGATGAAAAAAAAACTGTTTAAAAAAAAACGCCTCAACGATCTTATGTCTCAGAGCATCTGAAAACAATACCGGGATCGATAGGGGACAAAAAAGGATTCTCAATCATGTTTTGCTCTGACGCGAAACGGTCCCTGATGATGCAGCCATTGGTTATGACCAATAACGCGAATCATTAAAATTTAACAGAAATCGAATCTCCCTGCCAGAAAATTATTTGAGGACTAGATAAACGACTGCTTCTTACCACAGTTGGAGGAGTTTTGCGCAGCCAAGAACATTAGCTTCAAGGCTTTGCTGTTCCTTGATAATGCTCCGTCGTATCCGCCCATCATAATCAATCCCGACATAATGCTTCTATACATGCCACCAAAAATCACGTCTTTGATTCAACCCATTGATCCAGGCATCATCAAAAAATTCAAGCTGAGCTATGTAAAGAGAAGCTACAGTTTTATTCTGGAAACAGCAGAAAATGAAGGCCTTTCACTAGCGGATACACGAAAGAAGTTCAGCATCAAGAATTGTTTCGACTACTTGGATGTGGTTCTAAAGGACATAAAACAAAGCACGTTGGTAAACTGCTGGAAGAAAATTCTTCCGTCGTATTTCGCGAATGCGCAACGCAATGAAGACGACAACGAGGATTTGCAGATCAAGTCCGAAATTCAACAAATTCACGGCATGTTTGGTGCACCGGGGATAAAAAACACAGTGAAATCAACGAAATCATAAGAGATGAACCGGCTACAGCAGATTAAATTGTTAGCAAACTGGACCCATCTACAATGAGTAATGTTATGGATTATATTTTCATCCCACCACGGCAGAAATCGGGTTCAAAATAAATCAACTCTTGGAGTTCGAAAACTTCTGCACATTGGACAGTAATGTCGAACAGAGTGCAAAAATGCTAGATTTGCTAAGGGAAGTCGGAACCCTACTCAAGGAGTGGAAGAACGATGGTTACTAATATGCATAAAACATGACAGCGCTGGTTGGTTCTTTGTCAACGAGAGAGTAAATACATTCTGGAATAGATCTACAGTTTACGAAAGAAAAAACAAAACAATCTAAGCGTTTAATTGTTTTGAGGAATTCTCCACGATACGTTGCCATCTTGCTTAATGATACGCTATACACGCTTGATAAGCCTTATTCTGGAAAAATTATGCGAGGCAAGATTTTGAGCTCCAAAATACCCTAAAACATTAATTATACAAAATTCATGTTCCTAGAGGAATATCGCCAAACCTACCCCGTAAACGGTCCACGTTAACTGTGCTGAACTGATACGAGGCTCTCCCAAAAAAGCCAATTGCCACCATTTTAGATCGCAAGATGGTGGGAGATATCGATTTTAGGCCTATATACGTCCCCCCTTAATAGTTTAAGTTAGAGCAAAGGCCACCATCTTGGATTCCAAAATGGCGTCTGGCATCGATATATGATCTCTACACGTCGTTCCCTTTCCGAAAATACCCATATTGTGATATTTGACAGTTTTTATTGAACCGATGGCCGCCAACTTTTAATTCCAAAATGGCAACTTGAATCGATATTCAGATATACACGTCATCCCCTTTCCGGAAATACCAATATTGTAGGGT